TGTTTTATTATTTGTATTACTGAATGATATAGTTACAAGTTTATTTCATGCCATACATTATTGCAATATAAATGTTAGTAACTTTTTTTCTCTGACTGGAGTGATTTTTTTCCAGTTAAAAGGCAACTACTAGCCAGTTGGCTCATGTTATCATAAAATAAACACATGTCTACTTTTACAGAGCTTTTCATGGAGTTACCTTGTGAATGTCTTGGTTTCCAGCATATAGTTTTTAGTTGTTCGTGTGGTCTTGAGGAGAACGTTTCTCGGTCTCCTTTTGGTTAAGGCAAGGCAAGTCTTTATTATCAAACACAGGGGTTGTTTAATTATAAAGCACATTAAATAAGATTTTAAAAAGTGAAACCAAGACAAAAAAGCAAAATAGAGATGGGAAAAAAACTTATTTGAATAAAAATTGCTTGGAAAATCTGATTAAAAGTGCAGTATGTCATGCCCCGATTGTCTACTCCTCCCGTGTGCCACGCCCCTCGTTAACCCCGTGTGGATTCCCTGTGTTTATCAGCTGTTTCCAGTTTTCATTATCGCTGATGGGTCTGGAACGTAACTTCCGCAATAGGCGGGGATCATTATGTATTTTAAGACTTAAACTATAAAAAAAGTTTGTGTGTGGTCTTTTCTATATCGCGGATTTTCACCTATGGCTGATAGGCAGGGGATCCAGACCCATCGCGGAAGTTACGTTCCAGACCCATCATAGGTGATAGGTGAAAATCTGCAATATAGAAAGACCATATACATAAACTTTTTTTTATAGTTTAAGCCTTAAAATACCACGCCCACATGTGCTTTAAACACGTGAACTTTGTAAACACATATGATGTATGTGGATGTTTGGCTAAGGATATGAATGACAAAATTTGAGAATTTCTGGTATCATTCCAATGTTTCTAGTAATGCATCGCGTTGGTCTTAAATTTTACTCATAATGGTCTTAAAAAGGTCTTAAATTTAACTTACTGAAACCTGTAAGAACCCTGAAAATGAATATATGACTGGTATGTGATTTCTCTTCTCTTGCTGTGTGAGAGCAGACTGTACTCGCTCCCTAATCATACTGTGCGCTCCTCTTCAGGCACTGGTTCTCAGCTGACACGCGTGAGGAACGGGCCGAGTGGATGAAGAAACTGAACCAGGCACTTTTGGATTTGCACACATGGACTTGTTGTCCAGGGGGCCCAGAGCCCCCCAGGCCATGTAGGGAGAGCATGCTGTAAGCCACACTGTCAGCTGCTCCCCCAGCCTTGGGTACCCTGGGCAGGGATGGCAGGGCCAGTGTCACTTACTTGTACCTTTTAGTAAGAAGTCTGCTCTTTATCTAATAACATGCATTTCGATTTTCATATTGGGAGATTTGCATAATGCCTGTAATCGATTTTCCATGTTATGTTTGACAAATGGGTGTAAAAACCAAGGTGATCGTAATGTGCAATAGGTATGCATATGAAAGCCCCTCTAGAATGATCCACTGCTTCTGGACTCCAGGCTGCAGAGTGTGATTTTGCACGGGTGTGAAGAATCGTTGATCTGCTTGAAATCTTTCCTCCTCTGGACATGACTGTCGTTTTATGTATTTGTTCTATGTAACACTACATGTGTACAGAATAATACACTTATTGCAGAGGATCCCTATTCCTGTCCATTCATTCATATGAAGTGAAAATTCCCTGAAAAACTTTTTATAAGAAACATATACATTTACTGTGATGTGGGCCCCTTTCATGGGTTTAGTATTGAAGAATGTAGTTCATGGTTGAGTTGGTACTTTGCTGTGATGTTCTGGAATAGAATAATAAAAGGCTGAGATGCACCGCGAGAAAGGGTTACAGGTCATATACATCTAAAGAGTCGAACACGTGTAGTGTCGGGGCGTTTTGCAGTATCCACTCCTAGCAGGTGGTTTAAACACGGTGAAGTGAGCGTATGGACTCCTCCATAAAGCTTTTACACGCGGTTACTGTTCACGAAGACCCGCCCTCTCTGCTCAGTACGCATGTGTGTCCTGAAAACGCATCTCGGAGGCCCGGCTATCAGCGTCACTCGGGCCATGTGACCAACATCTGACAAAGATGGTGGCCTCCGTATAGAAAATGCTTTAATCGGTTCGCACGGCGGGACGTACTTCACGTGTTGTGGTACAAATCGAAACAGAACCATGAAGACATTCTGCGGCCGAGCAAACCCTATCACGGGCGCGCTGGACTGGGTCGAAGAAAGCGAGGAGTATGATTACCATCAGGAGATCGCCAGGTGGGAAAATGGGGGAGGGGAGTCACGTCGTTTCATTTTCAGACTCGCGCTGCTTGTTAGGATAAGTTAAATGGAAAATAGAGAAATGTTTGGCGTTTGTGTTCAGCTAGAAATGTCTAGATATCTGGGTACAGAAAAGGTGATGTGTGTTTGTGGTGAGAGTAATACCGATTAATGAGAAGTCCTTAAATGCCTTATTGCTTTTGTCCATATCACTCATGCTTATTGGATAAACGATTTTTTCTTCCGTAAAATTCTGCGTATTAGTACGATCTAGCTATGAAATGGCTGGTTTGGATATTCTCATGCATGTGTCCTTTAAGTGAACGTTTCAGTTTATCCTCTTGATGACTCAACCCCGCTTGATTTTCAAGACAGAAAAAAATTACATTATCGAGACGATACCCGACCGATATGTGTGTGTTTTTCTATGCGCTGTGTTCACACATCCCCTCGCCATAGGTCCTGCTACGCAGACATGCTTCATGACAAAGACAGGGTGAGTGTGTCTGGTGGCTGTCTGTGTGGTGCTGACTGCGTTATGCCGTGTATATATTTCCATTTAGTAGGTTCTCTGAGCTTTACTGTGTACAGATAGTTTTCTAAGTAAGCTGTCTTGCCAACAGAATGAAAAGTACCAGCAGGGTATCCGAGCGGCAGTTAGCAGAGTGAAGGTTCGAGGGGAGAGAGCCATCATCTTGGATATTGGCACAGGAACAGGACTTCTGTCCATGATGGCCAGCAGTGCTGGCGCTGATTACTGCTATGCTGTGGAGGTGAGACTCACTGTGCATGTGACTGTACCTCCTGCCTCTATCCTGGCTGGTTGTAATTCCAGTCCTTAACCTGACCTTGTGTATAACCCCCCCAATTGATCTGGCCCCGCCCCCTTCCCCATATCTCACCCTCCTGCATCTCACTTTGCCCCTCACAGGTCTTCAAACCCATGGCTGAAGCAGCCATTCAGATTGTGGAACGAAACGGCTTTGCTGATAAAATTAAGATCATCAACAAACACTCAACTGAAGTCACAGTGGGCCCAGGTCAGGAAGTCTGACACACACACACACACACACACACACAAACACACACAGAGCTGTTTACAGTAACTTATGTTTTTCTCTGCTGCTCCTTACAGATGGAGACATGCAACAGCGAGCCAACATATTGGTGACTGAGCTGTTTGACACTGAGCTGATTGGGGAGGGGGCTTTACCCAGCTATGAACATGCGCATCTGTACTTGGTGCAGGTAAAGTCACTGCCAGATCCCCCAGCTGCAAGTGTGAGTGACCGACTGCGCGTGCAGCTGCGTAACTACTGTCTGCATCGCTTCCCCAGGAGGGCTGCGAGGCAGTGCCACACCGTGCCACGGTGTACGCGCAGCTGGTGCAGTCAGAGCAGCTGTGGAGCTGGGCGCAGCTGCTGCCCATGCAGGTTGGGGACCGAAGGCTCCTGCCCCCTCCCTCTATGGGCCGTTGTGCAGGAGCGCCCTCTGTCTGTGACATCCAGCTCAGCCAAGTGCCACCCGACACCTTCACGGCCCTGAGTCCCCTGTGCACCATGTTCAGGTGGGTGCAGCCCTTCTCTTTCTGCTTCCAGGGGGTATTTGTGTTTCAGCAAGGCATCCTGGGAGGCCGCCTTCCCTCCCTGAGCTGCCACTTCTGCATCTGTCCAATCGTGAGTTGTTTGTCCGTTCTCCGTGCAGCGTGGACTTCAGCCAGCATGTCAGCAGTGCTCCTGCGTCATACTCCTTCCGGTTCCAGGCTCTAGCCAGCGGTCAGGCCCAGGCTGTTCTGTCCTGGTGGGACATAGACATGGATCCTGACGGCACCATAGTATGCTCCATGGCTCCCAGCTGGACCTACCAGGACCCCCGGTCCTACCCTGTAAGATCTGCTTATCGGCAGCCTGCCCCTTTTGACCGGACATTCCTGCTTTATTGCCACCTGACCAGCGCTTATGGAAATTGGCAGTGCTTGCTACTGTTGGAGATACCGTGACAACAGGGGATTAATAATTAGGGCATAGCACAGATAGATAATAAGTACATTATTAATGTGGGGAGCGCTGTGTTCTGTGTATGAGCTCATTTGTTGCATGATTGGCCGAGCTGAGCATGCATCCTCATGATTGGCTGTGCTCTGTCTGTAGTGGAGGGATCACTGGATGCAGAGTGTGTATTTCTTACCTGGAGAGCAGAAGGTATCTGAAGGGGAAGAGCTTAGTCTAAGGGTTTCGCACGATGACTACAGCCTCTGGTACAGCCTGCACTCCTACAGGTAAACTCACACAGCTGCTGTGACATTCAGATGGCGTTCAGCCCTGGTTCTTCCTTGCAAATGGACACAAACACACACATTCCTTCAGTAATCATAGGCACACACATCTGTTGGGTACTGGCAATATCGTCTTGGCCTGCTATCTTCGTACATCGTGGAGGTTAATTTTTTTGTGCAGCCAGCAAGGCGGCAAGATGGAGGTGGTCCCCAGTCGGCCGTACTGTTCATGTCAGGCACACCTGGTGTGGACCCGGCCTCGGTTCGGTGAGCTGAATGATCCCCGGCAGACAGAGACCTATGTGCGGGCACTGCAGAGTGTGAGTCATGTGATAAAGTGTGTCCAATGGAGGACTGTGCTGTGTGCTAGGGTGTCTATTGTGGACTGTGGGGACGGTCTGTGTGTTTGTGTCGCAGGTCCTGAGTGCAGACAGCGTATGCCTGAGCGTCAGTGACGGGAGTCTGCTTCCTGTCTTCGCCCACCTGCTGGGCGTGAAGAAGGTGCTGTCATCTTCCTCACACTCTCCTTCCTCCCTGCAGACACATCATGCAGTCTGGGTGTTTCCTTACACACGAGAGATGAACGCATGTCTGCCTGTCCTTACAGGTCTATAGCCTGGAGAGCTCCGCATTGTCTAAGCAAGTGGTGGAACAGGTGAGCCGGTGAGCCATGCACTGCGACACTCGCCGTAAAGCCGGCACGTCCCACACCCACGCTCTGTCTGTCCGCCCAGGTGCTGGAGGCCAACTCTCTGAGCGATGGGGTTCAGGTGCTGAGTGGCAGACTGGACCAGCTCACCACCAGCGATCTGGGGGGGGCACAGGTACGTGACCCACCTCTACCTCAGCTGTGCAGTGCAGGGGAACCGTTCACTGGCCCAATGGCCGAATCCATTTGGACAGCCGAAGGCTTGGAATGCGTGTGGGTCCGTCCGAGCGCTCCTGTAAAGTTACTTACCTGTTTTAGGTAAAGACCAAATTATATCTGACTCCAATTTAATTAAAGATCTTTATTGGCAATTTTAGTCATGACATTTCTGTTATTTAGATTACTCCTGGGCTGTGCCTTCTATTGCTGAACTCCCACTAATCCCGGACAGTGGGGCACACCGGATTCGCCTCGGCCGATAGGGCGATCCGTGGATCTGCTATGTAGGTTTACAAGTTGGGAAATCACTACAATGCAATACAGTGCCAGCCTAGATACCCGTCAGGACCCGGCGACCCATAACGCCTCAGAGGCTCAGCTGACACTTGCCGAATCTGAGCTAGTGAGGGCCACAGAGGTTAAGCTGGTCTTTTACCGTAACTTAGAGGCGGAGCCGGTATTCACCATAACTCAACTTGGGCAGTCGGAATTTAGCTGCAGGTTTCTGGCCGCCCAGTGGGGGTGAGGTGTCCCTTTTGATGTAGTGATCGCGTGATTTGGGTCCAGTCTTGTCAGAGCCGGTGGACCTTTGCTTCAGGACACTGGGTGGAGCATTACAGGCTTGCCAGAGCTCAGACCGACGGGGCCTGCAAGGCCTGCAGCCTTACAGCAGTTTTCCTCGATCCTCATGGACATGCCCAGCAACCTTTTTATAACTGTTGGCTAATTATTTATGACTCTCACTGCACCATTTGCACACTGCCTGCAGTGTGGGCAGTTTAATATAATGCTATTTTTACATACTGTCTTTGAAAAGTATTTTTACATGTAGCCTTTTATTTATGTCCTATTTATCTTTGTTCTTATCCTACCACTCCTCCCATTTTTATTTATATACATTCTCTTTTATGTATGGTCACAAATAGCAAGGTTTTCATTGCACTGCAAGTTGTACCAGCATAACTGCATGTGAAAAAATAAAATCTTCAGTCTTGAACCTGAGGTTAGTGGTCGCATTGGTCTGTTTATCTCAGGTGTCTGTGCTGATCGGAGAGCCGCACTTCAGCACCAGCTTGCTGCCCTGGCATTCCCTCTTCTTCTGGTACTGTCGGACAGCCCTGGCCCAGTTGCTGCAGCCCGGCGCTGTCATTCTGCCCCGCTCTGCCACGCTGCACATGGTCGCCGTGGAGTTCCGGGTACGCTGGCTCGGAGGTCACAGGTGAGGCAGTACGGACCATTTTCAGTGTCGAAAGAACCCAGTCGATCTCTCTGACTCCCTCCCAGGATCTGTGGAGAATCCGAGCTCCCTGTGGGCTCTGTGAAGGCTTTGATGTCCGTCCCATGGATGAGATGATCCAGGTGAGAACTAAAACCTGGAACTTGAGGGTGGCAGTGTTAGGCCCCAATTACATAGGTTCATGAGAATGTGTGTTTACAACACATTAAATATGCACTGGATTGACATGGGGGCTTTTATCCAAACTGACTTCACATTAGATATAGAAATGCAGCTTAATCGATGATGGTATAGGGAGTGAATTCTGCTGGTTCTCTCCTGCTCTCAGCGTTCCCTGGACTTTCGGGAGTCACGGGAGGCCGAACCACACTACCTGTGGGAATACCCCTGCCGTGCCCTGACTCAGCCCTGTGCTGTCATGACCTTTGACTTCACACAGTTTGTCCCTGAGCAGCCAATCAGCAGCCAGGGATCAGTCTCCATTGTAAGGTGAAGTCTCACATGTTCTTAATGTCTTGGCTGGTTACCACATGTTGTGGTTTCTTCTTCCCCCCCAATCAGGAGTCAGGAGCCACTTGTGTAGATCTTCAGATTCAGTCTTTATTGCAACAGCGAGGTTACAACCAAGGCTGGACAATCTGCAGGAGTGTGTCCAATACTGTTTTACACCAATTTTTATACAAGTCCTTATTCAATTATATCTCGTCACTTGAGCATCATCATTCACAATCATTGTTTTTTCCCTTAATCCACACCCCTAGGTGATGTTTGTCCATTTCTTTTACTATTTGGTCCCTCGGCGGAACATAATGGTGACGCAACCATCTCCACTTGATTTTTAAAAAATGCTCAGTTGTGAACTTCTGGTGAACTCAGGCGAATCCCTTCCTTTAGTAGTAAACCTTGGCAGCTTCAGGCTTTTGCACATCGACTAACTAGAGGGTTGATAATATATTTGCCCTTTGACATAGTGATAAAATATACACTAATAAAAGTGGATATTCATAGATTGAGGACTAACACAGTAGCTAACAAAACTCTTAGGCCAATACAAGGTGCAAATACATACTCAATTGATTACATTATGGATATTTGGCATACTTAATATCATAATACTTATATTCTACGTTATATAGTGCTAAATAATATTCCATGCACACACCAGAACTGGGACAGAAGAAAGGTCATTCCCGCCCTGATGTTGCTTTGCAGGAGTGGCCGTTGCCATGGTGTGGTTCTGTGGATCGAATACCAGCTGACCGATGACATCACGGCAAGCATGGGCCTGATTAGGCCGGTCAGTGAGCAGGTACATGTGACATCACCATGCCGTGAGCCACCACCTTGTTCAGAATGTTTATAAACACGTTCGGAGTAAGTCTGACTCTGCCCCCTCCTCCTCCACAGGGTGTCTGCCAGTGGAGCCCCCACCAAAAACAGGGGGTATATTTCTTCAGCTCGCCCAGAGACACTGTTGGGGATGGACAGGCTGCAGTCAGCTACAATCTGACCTTTGAGCCCAGCATCGGGGATATCAGAATGCAGTATTCAGTAACTAGCGACCCATGACTCCATTTCAACATCATAAACAGCTCACATACTGTCACCTAATTCTGTACTTGTGTTTCAATTAAAAACAACAACTCTGGAGGACTCATTGTTTCTTTATTTCTAGTGATTTCATTCATTTTTTGGGGGGAGGGGGGGAGGTGAACACAGTGTGTACGGCTAAGCATCACTGAGGCGAGTGTTGTCCAGGAGGATCTTCTCCCCGGGTTTGAAAGCGGGCATCCCCATGTAAGGGCAGCTGGCACAGCGGAAGGCATCGCCTAGGTAACACTGCAATGCAGATCAAAGGGTCACACCAGAAGGGCATGTCAAGGTTATATTGCACTACTATGTCATTTTAGACAAAACAGTGCTGAATATGTACATGTAACTCCCAGAAGCATTCCAGGGATCATGATGACTCATCCAAACAGAATAAAAATCACAGCCATGTGGGACTCAAAGGTCAGACACAAACTGACCAGCTGGTAAAGCTTGGCACCAGCCAGGATTCTGCTCGCTGTGGACTTGGGGCGGCTTGGCATCAGGCGGCCATACTCACGCTTCCGCAGGCTGACTTGGGCTGGTTGTTTTTCTTTGCCTTCACGCTCTCCTGCTCCAGCTCCTCTGCCAGGCCACATGTGCTGGTTGAGGGAAGAGGCAGGACACCCTGAGATAGGGCAGCACTGGGCCGTTGCGCGACACACAACAACGTCTCAGTGGCTCCCTGTGTGCACATGTCTCACCAGTTCTTGCAGGCCTTCTTCTTGGTGGCTCCATCCCCACAAGTTGGGGCCTTCAGGGAAGCAGGATCAGGCTTCTTCAGGTCATCGGCATCAAGGAATGTATCCGAATCCAAGAGGTCCTGCAGAGTGGCAGGGTCAGCATGTCTGCACCACTGTCCCACACTGGGCTGATAACCCCCATTCCATCTCCCCAGTCTCAGTCTACACCCACCACATCCTCGTCGTCCATGTCGTTAGCAGACAGAGTCCACCTCTTAGCAGCAGTGGGGTCAAGCTCTGGTTTCTCTGCATGCAGGAGGAAGCAGTGAATGAGAATAGAGAAAAAGGAGGCACCAGAGAAAGGTGAAGTCTGATGGGGAGCAGCGGGTACCTGGTATGGACGTCTTCTTGGCAAAGGAAAGCTTGAGCTGGCTGGAGGAGCCAACCTCGAAGTCCGGCTTGCAGGCGGACAAGCGCACACTCATCACCGTGACGCCCTCCAAGACGGCGGCCTTCCCCAGGGCAGTGGCTGCGGCAGCACTCAGCAAGCCTGAGCTTACCTGCAGGAGGAGGGATAAGGATGACTGCAGCGTCGACACATGGAAAATACAAAAGGGAACAGGAACATGGGCCTCACCTGCGTGACTGACACCATGCCTGACAGCTTCAGAGCTGACTGCAGCTTCGACAGGGTTCTCAGGGCTCTGCCCTCTGCTTCTGAGCACAGAATAGGCCAGGGTCAGAGGTCACGCGTCAGAGGGTTATCCTGTTTAAATTCCACCACTGACCCGTGATTTGCCACAAGCCGCCCACCTGTGATTGGCTCCTCCAGTACCATCTTCCCGCCAGGCTTCATCACCCGTGCCACCTCTGCCAGCATCTCAGGGCTGTGTACCAGGGCGCTGTCTGGCGCCAGGCCAGACAGCACCCAGTCATAGGTGGATTCTGCATGGGACGCTGGTACAGGACGAGATGACCGGAGATCAAACATGTCACCTTTGTTAATGCAAGCTAAAGTGTTCTTAATGCATTTATTCAAGGCCCACCTCATGTACACTTACACAGCAGTAGTCTCTCCACATTTTCCATTGACACCAGGACTTGGCTGCCCACTGCAGCCCCCACAACCTCCGCCAGCTCCTTCAGAGCAGCTGGGGGGGAAGGGTGACTCCATAGCAGCAGCACCCGGTCCCCAGCTTGCAGCCCCAGGTCTGCCATGAGCTCCTAAGGGTAGGGAACATGCAGCAGAGAAGTGAATTCGCGGGGAGGGAGGGTTATCTGCCCCACAAATCTTTAGTAAAGCTTCCTAGAACTTCTCGTTTTATTCGCTTATTCATTTGCTTAATCTATCCGATTGTTAAAAGTACATCAGTTACACACCAGAATTCATGCAAAAAATAAACAAATTAAACAAACATTACAGCCTGCACGTACACAGTGGCCCCGCGACCTCCCACATCCTGCAACACCTGCATCCGCTCTCCTCTCTTCACTCCCCCATTTTTCCCCGGTCCCGCTGCCACTATCTCCTTTCCTGCCTCTCCAGTACCTCAGTGGTCTTGTTCGGATCTATGTTATTATATCTATACAAGTATCTATATTAGTTATTATACGGACTATCATACACATGATACAGTTAATGGCGCACCGCCAAGAACCCAGGAGAAACAGCCGACAAAAAGCTCTGACATTCGGAACAGCGGTCGTTCTTACCTTGCGTAGTAACAAGCGTGTATAGACTGTTGGACTCAAAAATATCCGTTGAGAATGGGGACGACACCGCTCCACCGAACTCAGTACAGCAGCACCGCACCGTGATGGTATCACACTGTCTCATAGTGATGACGTCGCTTATAGCCGCCCCATGTGACTTGCGATGGCGATCCTTCGTGGGGCGTTACGGACAATTTGGTTTGTCCGGGGTATCAGCAGCGGTGAGTGTCAGGCTGCACTAAGCATTTTCAACTATAAAAAGGACAAACTAGTAGTTTCACGAACGTCGGTGATTGTTTTGTTTATTGCACTGTTAATGATTTTAGGGCTGAAGTGATTATGAAGAACATGATCGTTTCTGGTAATCTGACCGCTATCTAAATACAGGCTGGGTGTTCCATATTGTGTGAGTGAGAGAGAGCGAGAGAGAGAATTAAAGCACGAGTACGTCCGCCCCCAAGAGAGCAATGTAAGGTGCAGGGGCGCCGCCAGAAATCTTGGGCCCCATGAAAGATTACAATTTTGCCCCCCCCCCCCCCCCCCCCCCTTTTTGCGAAAAGGTAAAACCCCTAACAGGGCCCCATGTCAGTGCTGGGCCCCTAGAATTGTTCTAACCTTTCCCCCCCTGGCGGTGCCCCTGGTAAGCTGTATCAGTGTCACCAATTGTGGGTAGTGAAAATGAGTGGCCATGTTCCAGGTTGATTATATTTTGTGCTTTTCCAGTCAGGGCTATTGGTTCTGGGACACTACAGGGCACCAGAAGCAGATCGCAAGTTATCCACCACCCTGCCCTGCTCCACCTGCAAGCTGCTCCATTCTTCTCCTCTTCCTCCACACATAAGCAGCACCAAGCCCACACACCTGAGAAGTTTGCTGATCATGGATCCGAGCAGGAGGCAACAGAACCCAGTGGGAGGTTGGATCTCTGATAATTACCCCATTTCTGACACATTGTTTTGACAAATGAGATTTCAAACTGCGATAGGAAGAGTTATCATCACCTTCAGCTTTAGTCCTAGTATTATTTTGGTTTAATGAGGCAGAGATTAACTATCTGTGGTGACCCCCACCCTTTGTGGTAATGGCTGGATAATGCTACTTGGCTATGTAGGCCTATTAACCGGGCTGAGAAGGAAGAGGAGGAGCAGGAGAAGCAGGAGGAGGTGTACGAGACCGAGGAGGAGCTGAAGAAGCGGATCCTCACAGCTGCACTGGAGTTTATCCCAGAGCATGGCTGGTCTGTGGAAGCCATAGCAGCTGGGGCTGAGGTGACGGGAAAGGGAGTTTGCTGCGAATGTCTCTGTGTGCCTTAAGGCCAGTTCATACTTCACTCTCCTGTGTGCACTGACAGTCCGCACATAGGGTGAGTGACATGAATTTCGTCAACAGGGTTGTGCATGTAGCCCCGATTTTAATGTCATTCCTAATGGTGTGCGTCAACTGTAGATATGCTAGGAGATTGACTAGGTGTTTCCAGTAGGTGGCAGCACTGACTTTCACAGAGCAGAGGTCAACAAACTAAAAGATGAGTAGTTGTTGTTGTCGCTGTAGGAAGTACAGAGGTACCCACTTATCTAATCTTTCATAATGTCCAGATATTATACCACTGTGCTAATTTTGTCACAAGGATTTCAGAATGCTGTGCTATGCTGTATTGCGTTACATTATACTGCGCAAGCCTAGTAACAACTTGTAAAGTGTTCATAAAAAGTTTAGCAATTTCACAACGCTGCTTGTATTTGTGTTTGTTTCAATACTTGTGTCCTCTCCTGGTCTGGTAGGATATCATTGCTGTATGCATGCACCAACTGCGACCATCTGCATGCATGGACAAATGTAGAATGTACACAAGAGTGCACAACCATGCAGGTATGAGGAAACGTGAAGCACAAACTAGGCTTAACACTGCTATGCGTTGTTCCCCAGACTCTAGGCCTGTCTACAGCCTCTGCTGGGATTTTTACCAATGGAGCCGGTGAACTGGTCCTGCACTTTGTGTCACAGTGCAACGCTCAATTAGTCCAGCTCCTGGAAGAGCAACAACGGCAGGTGCAACTGGGCCAGGCAGGGTGAGAAACCTTTCACACACACCGTGTTTATATGGGTGTATATGCTGAGAACGCCACCATCATAGGCTGACGGGAGGAGCTGAGGCTGCTGATAGGAGACTAACCTCTCCCTGCATGTCAGCAAGGCTAAGGAGCTGCTCATTGACATCTGGAGGTTCCTTACAGTCCCAGCTAGAATTCCATGGGAGTCGACATTACTGAGGGTCTCGCTTAATGACGTCACACCCCAGCAGTCATCAGGAAGGCCCACAAATATCTGCTGTGACACCTTATTCACCAAATCCTACCTTCAGTACATCTCCTACATGTATATGCTTTTGTACATATATACAATGTGTCTTCCTGTCTACGGTTCTGCTTCCTGTATTTTATATTTATTGTTGGCTGCTGTACCTATTTTGAACTTAATTCTGCATTTTTTTTCTCGCATTTTTCTGCTGCTATGGTCAGCAGGAGACACGCAAGAAATTAATTTCATTGTGTTTTGTACACGACAGCGAAACAGCTTGAATTTTGAACCTTGTTGGAATGGAGTGTAAACCTACCATCTCTTTCAGGCCCAAAGAGAAGGCGGAGTTTCTGAGGGACGCCCTGCAGACCCGGCTCAGAATGCTGGCCCCATACATGGACTCGTGGCCACAGGTAAGCTGCACGTGCTCACAGGTGCCTCTGCTTGTGAGCTCCCCTCCTGTGCCTTAACCCTGTGTACTTCTTCACTCCCCATGTGTCTGAATGAATGATGGTGCTGTCCCTCTGTTGTGCCATGCAGGCCTTGAGTACACTGCTGCTGCCCCACAACGTCCCCAGCAGCCTGAAGTGCCTGTCCACCCTGGTGGATGACTTGTGGTACTACGCCGGAGATCGCTCCACCGACGTCAGTCTGCGATTGTCACTGTGTGCTTCCCACACCTGCAGTACACCAACATGCCTAGCATGTAGCGCCAAAAACCAGGGACTAACTGGTGAAAGTGCATACTCCTAGTAAGGAGATTGTCAGCTGGTGTGCTCATCTTCTGGGCCCAGTGGGAGAGCACACACTGGTACTCAGTTTACCCCAGCTACTCCATATTAGTGTGTAAGCTCAGAGAGCGAGGAGACTGTCTGGCATAAATTTGTGGCTATTCCTGTTTGAAACTTTAGTGGGGAACTTCATACACATTCAAGTAGTTCTCATGTTGTTGAATTTATTGTAGCCTGAAGATAGATCAAATTCTGTTATAGTAGATTGCCAGTTAGCATTTCCTCAAGGGGGGAGCGGAGTTATCTTCCCCTCTGCAAACCCTACAGCTAGAGGAAGTCTTGTCACACTGCTGTGATGAAGCCATGTTAGGTGGTTGGCTTTACACTCCACAATGACGTCTCGCCATGAATGCGCTCTCCCGCAGATGCGCTGGTATAGCCGTCGCCTTGCGCTCACGGCGGTCTACAGCACCACGGAGCTGGTCATGGTGCAGGATTCTTCTCCTGACTTCCAGGACACCTGGATGTTCCTGGATAGTCGCATCCAGGACATGATGAACGGCGCCTGCATGGCTGAGCGGGTATATCCTCTGTGTGCACTTGGTATATAGTCAGGGATTGACATAACTAGTACACATTCACCTTCAATATGTATGGTTAGTGCAATTAGTATATTTTCTAATATATTCTTTTACTACTCACATTGAGTCGCCTGCACTTTCGCAATTTCGTTGTCAAGTGACAATGACAATTAAGATAATCTTATCTTATTTTAACCTATATTAGTCTTATCTTATTCTATGTTACCTTATGTTATACAAAATCTTATTTTAACCTATATTAGTCTTATCTTATTCTATGTTACCTTATGTTATACAAAATCTTATTTTAACCTATATTTGTCATATCGGTGCAAATGCACGTAAGATACGTAAGGATTCACGCTGTTACAACAATTGATTTTAAAGGGGAATGCGTACTTGCGTACCAGTTATGTCAATCCCTGTATATAGGTCTTGGAAGTGCTGGGTCATGAGTCTTGTGTATTTGTTCCAACTAAACTTTTCATCTGTAGGTACGTTCCACTGGGGAGTCGGCGGTGCAGGGGATTATGGGCGCTGCAATTACGGTGAGCAGGCCTGCTGACTGGCTTCCTGTATAGCAGTTTGTCTGACTTGAGCTTGCTGATTACCAGTTTCTCTCTTCCAGCTAAAGAACCTAACGGGGCTGAACCAACGATGGTGAAAGAGGCCTGTCTTCAATCCTTCAATGGCATCAATATCTGCAGTACTGGTCTTCTGCCATTATCTAAAGGGGAACGTGATTTAATCTCATTGTTTAAGGGTGACTGCCTTGCTGATGCATGTCCACAGCAAAGTCAAGCACAATCTAGCCTCCCCACCCCACCCCACCCCACCCCACCCCACCTGGAACCAAGAGTTTGAAAATGTGTGTTTATGTTTGAATGCAAAGGATGTTGAACCTGTCATGTTGTGTGGAAAAACGTGATTAAAACACACCAAACTGCTTCTGGTCTGGGCCCAGCTTTTACCTCTGTAAAGTAAGTGTGTGTGTGTGTGTGTGTGCGCACACGTGTGCCAGTAAAGCACGGGGGGAGGCAGGCATGTTATCCCATAGAAATATGCACACATGGTATTTAATTGTTTTTTTTATTGGTTAGGTTACCCAGATACCTCCCTTTTATTTTATTTTAAATTATTTTAAATATAATCTCACAAGAAATAAAATTTCAAACAAAGCAAAGAGTATCAATAACGTGATAAAATGAAATTGTCACGTGCTCCAGGTACTAGAGGAAAGTGTGCAGGCGAAGGAAAGTGGCCGCTCTGAGGCTACTGCAGGCAGACTGGTGGGCACGCCGCCAGGGCCGTGTCTCACACCCCCTCCACACACTGCCTTTTACATTTTACTCCCTGGTCTTTGGGGTGGGTGGGGTGGTGGGGTGGGGTGGGGGGACTGGTGCCCCCCCGACCCCTGCCTCTCTATCCGAAGGTGTTCTCGCCGCTGTACGCCACGTAGAGAAATCCATCCTCATCCTTCTCCTTCTCGTACAGCTGCCCCATCGTCAGGCTGCAAGGGCGAGAGTTACGGTCAGCTGACAGACGACAGTAACCCACAGCTCAGAGCAAATATATGCTGGTGAAAAGATGGGCACTGAAGGATTACGGACAAACCCTCCAGGGCTAAAGCACAATCAGTATATCTGAGCGAGGTGGCATTTCAATAACAAAAAAGTGCATTTGCTAGCATTACTGAAGCTCACCTACAAAACACACTGGCGTCAGCCAACTCTGTCCACAATGGAAAGAGATTATCAGTCAGCTTATCAAAGGAATCATTTATGTGTGCAAATAGTTTAACTTGCCTAACTGGACACTGGAAGTTTGGCTCTCAGCCTGCACACAAAAGCCTGGTGTCAAAAAAGAGGCACCGATTGAGGACAGGAGTAGAGAAAAGCCTGCAGGGCTGAGATCCACCCGACACCTGCCCCATTCCCCTCGGCATCACTGCTGACCCTGACCTGGACTGTGGGACAGTCTTATCAACAAACAGAAAGATGGCCTTTTCTGAAGGCAGCTGAATGCGCTTCCTGATGATCCACATGAACTGGGCCACAGTGATGTCAGACGGAACCAGGTACTTCCGCTTGTCGATGTCCACGATTTGGGAGCCGGACACCTTTTCAACAATCACCTGCAGCACGCAGAGAGAGATTCAGTCAAATTGCAACCAGCCATACGTGACATACAGGTACAGGGAACGTCATCAACCTGTTCTTAAACATGTCTGCCCTGTTGAGTAGGAAGTTCAACCTTACAATCAGGTGTCTACCAGGGCAGTTTAGACAAGGAAGTAGCACAGATGCTGCCATATTTTAAAATGCTGACAGTTAATCCCCTGACATTCTGATAGCAACACAGGATGGACAGGCACTTACAGGCACCCGGTCAGGGTACTTGCTGCGGATTTTAGCCGACTCCACGCATCGGTGATCTGTCAATGAGAAGAGCAGAGTCATTTTGCATACATGCTTGGGAGAGTGAAGGAAAATGAAAATGAGACTGTGAGCACACGTTTAGCTCTGGGTCATACGTTGCCTGGCTGAGCAACTGGAAAAGCATTTTTAAAGAGCTAAACAGAGTTTTGAGAACTTAAATTGAAGACAGAAATGATCAGCACACCTCAGGCAAAAGAAAAGAAAACCAAGTAAAAACAGGAACCAACCACCAGGGGGCACCAGGAGGTTGTACCAGACTATGCAAAATATTTATATAAATGGTGACCTCAAAAGATCAAACCAGCTCTTTGGTACATTATAAAGTTCTCAGGAGTGTTTAGAAGATGCAGCTCATCAGACCAGATGAGGAAGTGAATCTGAGATACAATTAACAGAGAGATGAAAAAGGCTGGAAATCAGGAACCCAGTCAAATATCACGTGTCTGCAATGCCAGCCTATGATCTCACCACTTTATGCAGTTATTCAAGTCTGACTTATATTACAACACTATTCACAATTAAGGAACATTCAACAGGCTATTCTGAGTTGCCTTCAGCCCTAACAAGATAAGGAAATGGTGGTTTGCCCACAACTAGACAAGTGTGACATGCTTGCATGTTTTGGGCATTATAACTGTGACAAAAGCTCCGTTTATTGTTAAAATACGACAACTAGTCACTGGTGCAGAAAAATCCTATCATGTAAATAACTGATATGATCACATATTATCCAGATCACTCAACACTGGTGCACAATATACTGTAAAGATGTGAAAATGCCTGTAGCAACACATTTGATGCTTGAAAAATAAAACCCTACTTTAACCACACAGGAAGATGAAACCCAAACCAAGAGGCACAAGACAAGTCCCATGACAGAAGGGAACATACCTGATCCACTCCTGCCCAAGGTCACACCCAAGAGACACAACTGAGGAACTCTTTTAATAGCATTGTGCTCATGTTCATAGTGTAGATAATTACAGTAGCCGTCGTTTGCATATTTCATTATTAAAAACAATGATGCGGGCTTGAGGAACAACCTCATCATCCTCTTTTCCCCTCCTGTCCTTTGGCAGTTTGACTGTTCCAGGTTTTATCATGCCTACGTGTCCTATGTGTATGCATGTCTTGGTGTGGCATGGAAGCATATATGGCCCACAGAAAATTATTTTTATATATCACTTCATATTTGATATTAAATGACACACCCCTGATCTGATTAGTCAAGAACAATTTTCAATCCAAATCATAGCTCTAAAACAAATAAAACAAAAAGTTCATATTTGGGCTTTTACTGAAAAGCATTTTGATGTACCTGGTTCTGTATCAGTCCTTAATGGAATTCAGTTTCTGAAAGTCAGATTTGACCAACTGGGCACTCTTAAAGATTTCAGAGAAGGGTAGAGTGAACAGTGAGCCCAACTAAGGATATTGTATTTATTTAGTAGGCACTTTTGTCCAAAGTGGTGTACAAGTGAGAGCAGGGTCAGCCAGCATCCCGGAAGAAATTGCGGTTAAGGGCCATACTGAAGAGCCCAAAGATAATGAGCTCCATACCACCACCATTCATCAGATGGCACACAGTAAGGTAATTCTAGAGACACCAACCAACTTAATTCACGTGTGTTGGATTCAACACTGTAAAAGGGAATCAAACGTTGGAGGTTTGAGGGCACAGTGCCACCCACTAAACCATGGAAGATACTTGGCCTTCAGTTGGTTTTAAACAGAAATGTGTTTTACTGACATTTCTCACAGTAGACTTAGGATCTGCAGAGGTGGATTTTAAGAGGTTAATATTCAAAATATCTCCCCTGGTATGTAAGCCCTTTAAAGTAGCAGGAACTAATAAGAGATACTACTGGCCACATAAAAACAGCAGATAATAATAGAGATGAGAAAAGATTCCACTGAGAGCCATTAGGCTTGGTAGCAAATTAAAAGCTTATATTTCACGAATGTAAGCAGTCAGAAGAATTCATTCTAACAAATGGGCATGTTAATGTCCGACAGCCGTGCGTAATTGGTTGTTGGGGAAAAAAAGGTCTAAATTCCGGAATTCCAGAAACGAAGTGCGTCTGTTAGATCAGGCCTTCGCTTCCCAAAAGAGCGACGCCAACACCAAATACTGGGCAGAATATCAGACATACCAGTGCTATTTAATAAAAAGGCCCTTACCCAGAGAGTGGTCTTCCTTAAACATCCATTTCATTTTGCTGACGAACAGCGCTAATTCTTGATGTAAAAAATGTAGGTAATAACCTTCGGTTTAATTATTAGATTTTGTATAACGGTTTTAAATGCCCCCTTTTCTTAGTCGGCGATTTTATTATTAGTAGTAACAACACCAGTATTTTTATTTTCAACCTAAACGAAAGCTAAACCAGTCAGCCACCGACCAAAACAATATCGGGAACCTGCCAGCCCTTGTGGGTGATGTCACTTCCGGGCCACTACATTTTTAAGGGGGGGCGGCGTAATAATTACAGCTACATTGTCTATTTGCTCTGGTTTCGGCGATGTAGTGTTTTCCCTGAAATATTGCAATTTATATATTTATTATCTAACGGTATGCTTTCTGTTCTCTGTATGTGCTGGGCATCTTGCGACCTTTAGACCGTCCCATAACGCGGACTTCAATAACTGTCTTTAACATGGAATCTGGGAGTGGGGGCCGATTGGCAACAAAATGCATCCTCGGGATTTGCTGTCAAGCGGTCCCAATTTGATATTTTGTCGTCTTTCTGGGGGGTGTCCATCTAGGTACATCTTACCGCCGACTGGGATGATGGGGGGGTCTCCCGTGGTTTATTTTGTTGCCGACCGGCCCACCGGGAAGTTTCCAGTCCGCGCTTGGCTGGGCGTATTTTGCTGGTTCATGTGTGATTGTAAACAAAGTTGTATACTGACTACATTTTTCATTAATTTTTACGACCGACGGGCAGAAATCATCAAAATCTGAGGTTGCGTTAGGCTTCTACCTATATTCTTATTTACATCTTTAGCAAGTAGCAGATGGTATTCTTTATTTCTGTCATTATCTTCTTTATTCATTTCTGAGTAAAAATAGTAGCACTCCACACAAATGGCAGTGTACTGAATTTACATGACTTTAAACGTTGTCATTTTGCTTCTAATGCTGTTTAAAACGAACTTTCAAAAAGCAGTAGCCTAATAAAATAATCACAATAATACAGCTTCTTCTAACGTACAAACTTAATCTTTCGTTTTAAAAGCTCATCTATAACAGTTAAAAACAAAACAGGTGTATACTAGTTTATTTCCAAAAGGTGCATAATTAAATGTTCATAAAGTGGCAATCTTCTCTGGTTCTTCTTCACGGGAAAGCCACTGCGACAGTAGGATGTAAGCTGGTCGGAACCACTTACATGGGACACCGGGAACGGGGGACACTTTAGTGCCCGGACCGACACTTAATTTGGGAAGGCGGCCATGGAAACCGTATGACGCCTAGACTCAGAAGCAACTGAATAAAGTATAGACAGAGGAGTCTGTTGTGCAGTATATTTTAACTAAGCGTCCCGGTGTTAATTAGAAGAGTCATAAAGTTTCGCTTTGTATTGGCATAACCTGTTTAAAATGGCTGTTTATGAAGTTTACAGTCACCCGGCTTTGCTCCGATACAAAACTAGCATTTGCACGAAAGCCACGTTATTCCTAATAGTTGTACTGTGTCTCACCTACATATCACCTCTTCTGGTAGCTTACCGGAGCCAGGGTAAGATAAACGCCACCATGACCCTGATTATCTGAAAAGGACATTATCCGGTTCTCTGTCAATTCTTATATGTATAGAAGGTAATATTTATACGAAAATTGATATTATGAAAGTCATTTTAAATTCCCATATAAATCTTAATAGTTATCTGCAACAATATCCTCACGCAACGTCTTAAAATGAGTACAGACGCTCTCTACTTACGAACTTTCAGACATATGAACTGCAAGTCCAAATTATGGTTCCTTAGGTTCCCGTTTCCTGTCCGCAACTTCAAAAAAAAATAAAAAATCTGCGTAGTACGACCTTGGCCACTACTCCGCCGCGCAGCAGGTTAGTGTACGTACTCCCAGCGTCCTAGTTCTTTGTAGTTGCGTATACCCTTAAAATTATGATGATGTTGAATAACGACTTACGAACATTTCAAGTTACTAACGGCTGTTCGGAACGTAATTCATTCGTAAGTAGAGATCGTCTGTACTGTTGGTGCCGTTAATCGAAATCAAACGCATCTTGCGCCTTTGATTAAGCTGCTTGTTAGTGTTGTAGTGAGCTGAAGCTTCACTATACAGCCTGTTACTCTGCATTTGGCTTCAGGATTCTGGCTGAAGCGGAGCACTTACGAGGAACAGCCCAGCGTTCGCTTCCAGTACCAGATGTTGCTGATTGCAGCAACTAGCACCAGCGGTGACTATGTTGCATGGAGCACATTTCCCAACTTCAACATCCTTCAGGGCAATAACCTTCGAGTACCTTCTGTTTCGGCAAGTGCACGGGAAGCATTTGAGTCAACCTTGGCTTTATCTAGAAAGTCATTTGCTTTGCTTGCTCAGCGCAGTGTCACATTTATGTCTGTGTATTGTGCTCCTCGATTTCCCCTGTGTTTCTACACTCATTCTAGTCTCCAAACTCAAATTTGTGTCTGGTGTTGGCTCCACAGGCACGAGAAGAGGACCAGAACCAGGATGGGAAGTTGGATCGGTTAATCCTCCAATTAGACCTTCCTTTGAAGCCCGTTGAGCAGATCTACAGCATCCAGATGCTGCTCACCTTTTCTTACCAGTTATTTGTATGTACCAGCAAGCCTTTACACCACTGACCTAATGTACTGTTTCTTATGTATCTAACACCAATCTCTTTGAGATTTGGAACTTTTTAAAAATGTATCAAACCAAACATATTATTAGAAGACTCATTGTGATCAGGAGGATGGGTGGCTCTGTGGTTTGCCCTCTGTGTCTGTATCCAGAAGATCGGCAGTGTCAATCCTGTGGCTGGCAGAGTCGCCGCAATGACTTTTGGGCCCTCGAGCACCAGATAACTAGTTGATCCTGTGCTTTGTTCCCAAACTTCATTCTCACCATTACATATGTATATCTAAAAGGAGACCAATTTCTGTGTACTTCTACAAATGGCAAAAAAGTATTGCTATTATGATTGTCAGTTATGTGAAACTAAATTATATAGAGTTATATAGATATTGATTTAATAAATTTACATTGATTAATACAATGTTAAAAACTGATTTAGTTTGTTCAACTTTTAAAAATGAAGGAGCTTAAACTAGCTGTGTGTGGGTTTGTAAAAAGAGATTTGTAACCGAGTTCTAATTATATACGGTTTAATGTGATTAATTCACTCAGTAGCTCAATCAAAAATGAGCTAAGAGCTGAGCTGGAAGGAGAGGTAGCTTATGGCTGGCATGCTGCCAGAGGCAACAAACATACACACACTCCTGCTTGTCTTTGCAGAGAATGTCCACCCTTGTGATGCAGAGTCTGCTGATGGTACAACACTCTTCCCCAGTTCCTGGTTCTCAGCTTCTCCTCAGTGGAGACCTGCGCTTACACCAGAGGGTGTTACTCCCTCACCGTGGCCTGGACACACGTTACAATGTGAGTACACTGGACACACGTTACAATGTGAGTACACTGGACACACGTTACAATGTGAGTACACTGGACACACGTTACAATGTGAGTACACTGTCCACACTCCAGTGTGAGCAGGCTATTTCATTCATACACACTCATTTCCTCTATTTTTTTTACATGCAATTTACATCAGGACTGAAACATTTAGCATAATATCTATTGTTCACTTCAGCACCAACGTCGTATGTGGCGTTCTCTCCAATAACCCAGCCTCGTTTTTTTGTAAGAAAAGTGATACAGCTGCTAATTAACCTGCTTTTTTGTTTTCTGGGTGTGCCATAACCATCTGGGTGTGTCAAGGTGTGCAATAACCATCTACCCATTCAGGTATCAATTATCAGTGAGAAAAGTCCCTTTGCCAGCACCTACAACCTGGCAGACATCATGGAGGCCTATCAAGAACGAAACGGTAAGATATATGTTTTTTGTTTAGGGGGGGTGGGGGGTGGGAGAGGAGGGACCTTGAACTGTCTCCTTGCATGCACTCATGTATTTGTTCTGCAAGTACTTCTACCTGTGATCAGTGAGACAGACCCACCTGAGTTTACAACTCTTGGACATTTTCTTCTAGTGACAACGTTTCTGTCTAGTCCAGCTCCAGTGTGGACCATCGGTAGAGCTTCTGCTGCTCCTTTCAAGCTGAAGGCAGTGATCCGATACCCTGTTGAGATCATCAGATATCCTTTGAGGGGGACGACTCTGGCATGTCTGTGCATGGGTTGGGGTCAAGTTCATTCCACAAAAAGGTTTTGCTTTGAGTCTTAGCATGTTGTATAGTTCAGGTGTCAATTGTAGAGGTAGGTGTTACCACTAGCGGAAGCATTTGGTCCAATTATGAAAAGATGCTGTATATTAACCCTCTACTGCACACTGCTGCCCTTGGGCAACAGAAAGTCCTTTAAGCCCTTGGATTCCTAATATGAGCCTTTTAATTATTTCAACCAATGGAAATGCTTAAAAACATGTCCAGGGCCTGTCTAATGAGGTAAAGGAATCACGATGTTACAAGATTGTGGGGCAGGAAATCCTTTCAGGAAGCACTGCCTCAGGAGCACATGGTGTGACCAATGAGTAAGATTCATTTAATTGATTAACCTATTTCAACTGAGAAAACCAGTGTACAAAAAAATCATGCGTGTGCATGAGTGTTTTTTATCATCTAGAAATTGAGTTTTTATTTCTGTTGCCTAAGGGCAACATTATGCAGCAGGGGGTACTTTTCATAGAGGTCATGGTGAAGTAACATGCACTCTAGTTCTCCTGGCTAATATCAGGAACATGGGACCCCCTAGATCCATCACTCTGCTCCTGGCTTGTCCTTAACCTGGGACCCCACCTACCAGCCTGGTTTCTGGGAGATGGTGAAGTTTGCCTGGATCCAGTATGTCAGCGTGCTGCTCATTTTTCTTTGGGTGTTCCAGCGGGTTCAGACCTTTGTTTTTCAGAACCAGGTTGTGCCCACGGTACCAGTGCCTCCCTTGAAGCAGCACTGGGCCTGAAACATGGGGTGGGGGGTGTGAGGGGCTGGGTGTGTCTGTCTAAGGACTCATCACCAGCTTCATTTTCATTCCTACCACAGTGACCTACACCCACCAGGTGGAACCAACCCCTACTGGACCTCATGGTTCAGACAGTCGCATCAAACACAGCATAAGAAGTCTCATCCTGGTGTCAGCCATGGTATGGGATCATGTTTATGTGAAACAAAGGTACAGTGAGAGCGATACATGGCTTTTAGGAATATTAGCTCACAGGTAAATTATAGGATTGTGTAGAGATTCAAAAAATGTATCGTAGTTTCCAGTTAGGACAAACTAGGGTGGTACAGGGCTGTCAGGGTCCCCACAAGGCCAGTATGGTACGGGGCAGTCGGGGTCACAACAAGGCTGGGGTGGTACAGGGCGCTCAGGGTCCCCACAAATCCAGTATGGTACAGGACAGTCGGGGTCACAACAAGGCTGGGATTGTACAGGGCAGTCAGGGGACCCACAAGGCTGGGATGGTACAGGGCAGTCGGGGGACCCACAAGGCTGGGATGGTACAGGGCAGTCGGGGGACCCACAAGGCTGGGATGGTACAGGGCAGTCGGGGGACCCACAAGGTCGAAGATGGTACAGGGCAATTGGGGTCACAATAAGGCTGGTACAGGGCAGTCAGGCCAAAATTTAATGGGTCTTCACTGAAGTGTACAGGTCTTACGGTTTGGCTGTTGTTATACAAGAATTAATCATATGCTGAACCCAGTGATTCACAGCCATGGCAACAATTGACTCTCTACAAACAGGCATTCATTTTGTGTGTGAATTTTATACAAAATTGCTTTTGATCATGCATACACCTAGTTTTCATTCTATAGGTATGTGTTTTTATGGTAATATATTAAATGCCAAAATTACGTAAGAAGAAACATTAAAACCTCAGGGATAATGGACTTTTGTATCATTCTTTTCATTCATTCTCAGGTAAAAGTGGTCCTTTCTAATCTATCATAACAGGCTAATTGTGTTTCAGTAGAATACAGTCTTTCTGTTTCTCAGGTCACCTTTATGGAAATTTCATTTTTTAAATTGTCCAATTTAAAACAACCTGTCTGGATCCTTCTTTAATTCTGTTTCCAAAAATAAGAACTGTATTGAACTCAGCGGGAGATGCAAAATGTACTTATGTTAGTCAGGGTGTCTGATCGTCATATGAATGTATGAGACGTTTCAAATGAGCCTCATCCATTTTTCTTTAAAACGTCCCAGCCAAACCGGACTTCATATTTAGAATATTAATGGTCAAAAATAATTCTTTAGTAATTGTACACTCCCTGCCCCCCCCCCTCCGAAACCACCAAAGGATTTTTTTCAGGCATCTGATTTTGAAGTAAAGTATTCCCTTTGCGTCTCCCATGACTGCCGTGACTCGCTCCGCCTCGTACCGAGCCGTCATTCTCAGCCGTCTGTGATGAAACTCACTTCAGCTGGGCTGGACGGGCACCTGCGCCAAGCTGTCCTTGGGATGATATTTATTTCTCTAGTCTTTTCTTCATCTGAAGATTTCCAGCAGATTGTTTGAAAGGTAAGTGCTACAACTTCGCAAGAAGGCTAAAGGAATAGATGTAAGTGAATAGCAGGGGCTGTCTAAGATGTATTAGAGGGTTTTATTTAGTGTGGTGTTTCTTCTGACCCTGGGTATGGCGCTATCAGTGTGTCACATTTCTAGAAGAAAGTTATTCGAAAATCAGTGCAGCACATATCAGTGAGCAGAGATACCTTTGAATAAACCTTGGCTGAAAATTAACACAAACTAAAAATTCCTCAACAAACTTCTTGCTTGTATTTAGACTGATGTTATAAATGTTCTGTAATGTCTGAATATACAGATCAGGGCAGCTATACATAAATAGAGCTGGTTTATTGTTTTTTGCATTATCTTTGTAAGTGTATCTACCCTAAATAACAATATCAGGACTTGTATCTCTCCATCTCCCAGGGTAGGATCACAGCTATGATGACCTTTGTAGATTGATATTTTTGCTGAAGTTGACATCAGCATCTTCCGACAAGGGAGTTAAGGGATCATTTGAGCAACTGCTGACTTTTTTTTTCAGTCGAACTTGAAAATCTGTGAAGTACCTCTTAGCTGCATACTTGTAAGAAATTTGCAATATTAGGCAATGCCATTGTGGATTCCGTATAGTAATATAATATATTGAAATTCCATTGTCATGTCTAGCTTGAACGTGCCCTTGACTCTCCTAGACAGCTGCTGGTTCCACTAGATGTAAAAAGGCCTGCAGTCATGGTCTGGATGATTGCTTTTAGATAAGCTCTCCTAAGCTACAGCAGAAGTGAGGACACCAAATTGACAGCTCACACAACTGCCTGAACCAGACAGACCTGTTAGCAATGTAAAGAACCAATTCAACCTTAATCTTAATCCCTAAATTATTCTAATGTTCATGCTTCACTTAATAGGTAATCATAAACTGGGAACGCAAGAATAAATCCTTGAACAATACACACACCAGCACAAGAGTCATTCAGGGCTGCTGGGTCACCTGGGATCAGATTACAATATGAAGTATTTGGTTTATAATCTGGCCTGCTTCTGCTCCAAAGTTGACTGCACGTAAGAGACAATCTATTCTGGAAGTTCTTCTAGCAGTAACTCACAGTAAGAAGCACATGTCACCCTTAACAGGATGGTCTTTATAGTGTAATTCCATGATAGAGTGACTCACTTAGAGAATAGGCATTGCCAGGGAAAGACAAATCTGACAAAGAAATTATTCCTGTGCATTATCGCTCTTCATCTCTTTATCTTCCAGAATGCCCCGCTATAAATGGAACTCTGTGGCGTTAATAGCCGTGTTGTTACTCCAGGGCATCATTACAATCCTGCTGATAAGTTCGAACAAATGGTGGAATCTGGTCCCAGAAAAGGTCAATATTTCGCACAAGCTACCGCTTCCCAAAGCCAAGGTGCATGTGCTGCTGCTGTCGTCGTGGCGATCAGGTTCCTCCTTCCTGGGACAGGTGTTCAGTCAGCACCCAAACGTGTTCTACCTTATGGAGCCAGGATGGCACGTGTGGTCGACGCTGAACTGGCCTGGGGCTCTGGCTCTGCAGGTTCCAGTGCGTGACCTCCTACGTAACGTATTTCAGTGCGACTTGTCTTCGTTTGAGGCCTACACCCCTGCAAAGCGCAACGTCTCCCACCTCTTCATGTGGAGCCAGAGCCGGGCCCTGTGCTCCCCACCAGCCTGTTCCCTCAATCCACATGGGCCCTTCCACAGTTCAACTGACTGTGCGCGCCATTGTGACACATTCGGATTCAAGAGGGCCCAAGAGGCCTGCCGAAGTTACAGCCACGTGGCGCTCAAGGAGGTGCGTTTGTTTGACCTACAGCCATTGTACCCGCTGCTTCATGATCCTACCTTAGATCTCCGCATCATTCATCTAGTGCGTGATCCACGGGCTGTGGTCCAATCCCGACTGCAGGCAGGGGCATTTCTGCGGAGGGACGACACACTAGTCCTGGAGATGGGCAATGCCCGCTCCCCTGATGCCATCTTCCGCGTGGTGCAGGAGGTGTGTCGCGGCCAGGTGCGGATCCACAAGATGGCCTCGCTTCAACCGTACAGCAATCGGTACCGCCTTGTGCGGTACGAGGATATGGTTCGCGACCCGCTGAAGGAAATCGAGAATCTGTACAAATTCACCGGACTACAGATGACTTCATATTTGAAGGACTGGATCCACCACGTCACCCACGGCAAGAGCCAAAAGGGACCCATCTTCCAAGTGAGCTCAAGGAACGCTGCCATGGTGTCTGAGGCCTGGAGGGTCAAGCTGCCCTACAGCAAAGTGCGCCGCATCCAGGATGTGTGCAGTGCAGCCATGTCCCTGCTTGGCTACCTGCCCGTGAGCAGTGATACACAGCAGAGAGACCTTAAGATGGACCTACTGAGTCCACGCAAACTTAAACACTCCAGTGACCCAGACTCTGGAAATAAATCACTGAACCAAATTTGGTAGTATTTTTAATCTCAACTACTAATTTTTGTTTCAAGGGCCAGTGTTCAGTGTTCTGACTCGAATTCTATAAATAAAGTTGCTTCAAAAATGAATTGTTCAAGTGGCATGGGCAGCAGAGGTAACAGGAAGCAGCATGTCTATCATGCAAACATTAATAGGGCTGATTTTAATTCTAGGACATGAATTGCTCCCTTTGGGCAAATTGACTAGTTACTCTACTTTCCATCTTCTTATAAACCAATATGAACTGGAACTAAACAACTGCTCCATGTTTATGCTCAATAATGTATTTTAGATTTTATTTTAAATGCATATCTGAATGTATTATGAAACACAGGTGAGTAGAGAACAGGATTTTTATTTGGAGAAAAGTGGAGCTTTCGGCAGAAGTAGGACCAACCAAATGCAGGGATGCAGAAAGGGCTGGGAATGCATAAGCTTCACAGATATGTCTGACATGAGCCATGGAACTGGGGGGGCACCCTGGCTATGTTCTGAAACAACATTAAGAATGCAGTGATGAACAATCACAAAAATGACCTACAAATAATTCAGTGCAAACAAATTTTATTAATAAAAGCCATTTTTTTAAAAACAAATGTGATTTTTAAGCAGGCCAATTGATACTTGTTACTGAGTGTTGTGATTTGGTTATTCCCATCATTGTTATGTCATCTGCAGCATTAGCCAAATCTTAACACGTACATAGAAATTCTAGGCTCCCTCTGTAGATTATGCAGACCAGGGTGGGGGTGGGGGGTCCTTTTCGGTAGATTTCTATAACTGATCCCCCAAACTTATATTTTATGGCCCATATAAAATTTTATGGCCCCCATGAATCTGCCAGGGTATCCATGCCCCTGACCACTAACATCAAACAAAAAGGCGTATCGTGAGGTGAGGAGCCTTCAGCAATTTGGAAAAAAAAGATTAGGCAGAAGGTTATAACTCAGTTTTTCCAAAGACAAGTGGACATGACCTCCCCCCCCCACCCTTTAGATACGTTCCATGGTCCATGATGCCATAATTTAGGTTGTGCTTTACTGACCAATAAGGTGGGTCCAGAAGCTACGCCACTTTAGAATCACTGATTTGATCAATCATAAATCAGATTTCCCCTCATTATTAGGCACCATAAGCTTTATGTTGACAGTATGTTCTCAGAATGTTCCGTCAAGGTCTTCAGGTTCTCTGATAGCATGTTTATCATTAAGATGCTTGAGTCAAGAGAAATGTGGGACTGGCATCCTACCCTACCTAGGACAGGCTTCAGGCTCACCGTGACCTGATGCAGATGGGTGAATATTATTGTGTGAGTGTTGACAGTATTTTTCATGTTACACATCTGCTCTTCCTATGACCTTCTTGAGCAGAGCTGCTGTCCCTGCAGTCAAACAAACCAGCCTTTACCCTGTAATTATTTTAGGGATTGAGTTTGCACAAAAACATGACTGACAGCGGCTCTGAAGGAACAAAAAAAAAATATCCTGGATACTGTCTTTATGTCTTTGGTCTTCATGACAATATCACTGAACATAAACACAGTGACATTTCTAAGTAAAGAAGAATAGCAGACAGGAGAAGACCAGACCCATGTCAGACATCTCCGTGGCTGATCTGGGCCAGCATTGCTTGTCTTCAGTGCACAGCACTAGAAGACGTTCACACTGAGGTGAGAGATAATGGGTGGTCCTCTCTCATTCCCACTTCAGGACTGGTCCCGTAGGGCTGATGTACCGCTGAGGTTAAAGGTCAGACCTTGCTGCGCTTTGATTGGCTGTCAGCCACAGGAGCTGCCCTCTTGTTGCGATGGTGGGGGAAAGTTGGCATGAGCTCAGGCTCACATGCTAAGAACCAAAGAGAGATGTTCAGACTCACATAGGGACATCCTCAATCCACCCACACTTTCACACAATGGTCTACCCCACTTTTCCAAGGATACTCACGCAGTGGTTTCTCCTTGAAGTAGGAGCTCTCCAGGCAGTCGTTGGCTGTTGCTCTGAAAAAGATGTGAAATTCTGCTCATTTAACAGGCAAAGGCATGAAGATTAGTAAAGTAGGAGCTGCGCTTATGCCATGTGTTTATGCAAAGCTACCTGCGCCGGGGGTTGTACATGAACAGCAGGTTGAGCAGCCTAAGTCCAGCCTCCGACAGCCAGGTGAACTTATTCTTCAGGTTGTTATAAGGCTGCTTCCTCAAACTGTACTGTCCAACTAGTGGCAGGCGAGAGAAGCCCTGTAAGAGGTGAAGTGGCACAAGGTCATTCGGAAGTGCTGGCTATTACCCCTTCATATATACCGTCTAGTGATCTTGTCACCTTTGCATTCTGCAAAAGTGACAACGCTACAGTCAACAATAACAGAGTTATCTGGATGTGCTTCCAGGCTTGTCTAGAGGGGGGAGGTCGGTGCTCACAGGCCAGATGTTCTCATTGGGTGTCCCCAGGAGCTGCACGATCAGATCCACCTGCTGAATCTCAGAGCCACCTGGAAGAAGGGGCTTGTGAGCCAGCAGCTCAGCCAAAATACAGCCCACCGCCCTGGAAGCAGAGGACAAACAAAAGACAATGTGTCCGGACCACGGCGATATTTGGTACATGTTTTTTGTTCAAATGTTCTTCACAACTTTCTATCACTGAGACACTCTCTCTCTCTCTCTCACACACACACACACACACACACACACACACAGACACATTTCCCACTTTGCATAGACAGCACTGGATACTGATTAATGGTTTTTAAATTTCTCCATAAACTGGATGAAAAATCAAGAGTACTGCATTACACCATATAACAGAGAGAGGGGGCAAAAAATAGGTGTTATAAAAAGTTAATAACATTTCTTGCTTTTGGAAATGAGTTATGTTAAAAGCCAGGAGTGTTTCCTTTCTGTCATGCAAAGTTGATGTGACAGTCCCATTCCAGTAATGATCTATACTGTTAGTCATGCAGCAGTGTGGACATTCTGACTAATACCAATAATAGATATACAGTGGAAAAAATTAAGAGACCACAGGCACAATTTCTTGTTACACTCATTTCTCAATTTATGGGTGCGCGTCTGAATAATTAACATTTTTTTTTCAAACTCCAACCTGGCTCTTCCCTGCTTCTCAATGAAGAAGGGCTTCTTCCTTGCTTTATGGGACTTCAGTCCTGCTTCTAGGAGCCCAATACAAAACTGTCCTAGCAGTGCACTTCACAACTGCATTTAGTTCACCAGGATATAAAAATGCAGATGTGTTTAAAAATACAGTCAAACCTCAGATTGCGAGTAACTTGGTTTGCAAGTGTTTTGCAAGACGAGCAAATTTTTTTAATAAATATTAACTTGATAAACGAGTGAGGTCTTGCAATACGAGTATTACGTATACACTTTGTCTGCCGAGCGTCAAGTGATCACAACTGAGCCGATGGTTCTCTCTCTCTCGCTGTGGGATTGTGGGTTATCATCTCCCATGCTCAGTCTCAGTCGGCGTGCGTCACTCGTACAGTCAAAACTTAGTAGAAAAGCACCACCCGAATAAGGGTGTAGCAGTGTGAGAGATGAATATGTTTAACGACAATGTAATGTCCACATTTCCGCAAAATTCGAAAAGGAGGCAAAAGCAGCTGTCATTGGATAGGTTCCTTGTTAAAGTCACACAAAAATAAAAAGGATTCCAGTGAGCCAACAGATAGCAGTGATTCCATTAGTTATAGTGAAAGTCGTCCTACAATATAACCCTCCTCTTCTTGTCTCCCTCACACCATCCACGATTCTTTTCAAAGTGCAGGTTAATTTGTTTTATGTATTTTTACTTTATATTTTGTATAATTTTTTTTTTATAAATATTTTTTGGTTGTGGAACGAATCATCTGAGTTTCTATTACTTATAACGGGAAAATTTGCTTTGATATACGAGTGCTTTGGATTACGAGCATGTTTCCAGAATGAATTATGCTCGCAATCCGCGGTTTTACTGTATACAGTGGTCTCTTAATTTTCTCCACGGCTGTTTGTCTAATATTGCCGACTTGCTGAGTGGGGAGGGGGAGGTCCCCAGTAATGAAACTTGCCAGCACAGATTAGCAGAATTACAGTACATAGTATTTTATTCCCCATATTCTAAGGGCTACATTTAATAATGCACTAAAAACATATCACAGGCCAGTACTTTGAGACCTCTTATAAGGGCTGAATGAGCCAAAGAAATCCTTCGTCTTCTGCTATAGTTGACAGTCCAGTGCCGGTATTTTTAGCTCTGGTGCTGCTAACTTTGAATGTTGATAAAGCTTAAATATTGGCTGGCAGGATCGGCCAAGACCGAAGCATCTACCCATTGCCAATATCTTGATTTTTTTTTAACAAATTTCAACCAACACCAATATATCATACATCTCTACATATTGTTTGTTCCATCTTCATAAAGACAACATGTAATGCAAACAAATAAGCAATAAGAGAAACACACTGCTCAAGAAGCATGAAAGAAAATTGTGATTTCGATTGTGAATAGAAAAAAAAAAATCATGGTTCGTATTTCACCCAGAATCATGCAGCCACACTGGATACCGCACCATACAGACAGAACTCGCCTGGCTGGGACAGGGGAGAAACTCACCACATGTCAATGGCGGTGGTCTGGGTCTTAGTGCCCAGCAGCAACTCTGGTGCTCTATACCTACAGGCAGAATGGGCATCAGTGTGAAGCAGGAAGGAAGAGGAGCATGAAGATGAGCTGAAGCAGAGCTCACCACAGGGTCACCACCCTCGGGGTCATGGCTTTCAGGGGGATGCCGTACAGCCGGGCCAGGCCAAAGTCCGCTGGACAGAGACGGGAGAGACATACTTACAGCCTGCTCTGCATTTAACTCGCCATTTATACATTTTTAGCAGTTGCAGAATGAGAATAGCTATATTAAAGTCAGATCCCATAACCTAGTCCTCCTAGGGTTGCCAGGACAATTTAGCAGTGTCTCACCAATTTTAACACAGCCTTTATCTGTCATCAGCAGATTGGACACCTTCAGATCCCTGTGAAAGATCAGAGATCAGGAAAGAACACACTCATATCCCTTATCCCCTTGAGTTCTAGAAAAATAGACCATTAAAGGACTGGTCTGGGTTTTAATTCAGCGGTCTGCAAGCTTTTCTCAGCTGTGTGTGGGTTCAAGCAGACTTTCATATCCCTGAGGCTCTGTGCCTGCATTTGTTGGAACAAGACTATGAGCTGTGCAGCTGACCTGTGCAGGATGAAGTTATGATGCAGGTAGGCCAGCCCTCGTAGCAGCTGCAGCACAATGCACTTGACCTGGGAAGATGGTGGAGTCAGACCGACACACACCTACACAGACTGACACACACAGGCACACACACAAATGCACCCCCAATAATGATACACACGGACGCACCTGTGCTTCAGAGAACGGCGCCTGCATGTTCTCTAGCAGACTGGCCAGGTCCTGCTCACAGTAGCTCATCACAAGGAAGAGACTGAGGACATACAAACAAGCACTGATCACGAGTGGTGGGTGGATTGATCCAAGTATCGATAATAATGTTGGTATTGATATTGATCAATACCAGTTTAATGAGATCGATACTTTAGTTTCCATTTCTCTCCTGAATGCACTGTGGCTGTCTATGTAAGCGCTGCTGCTCTCACTTGCTGCTCCCGGCTGTCACAGCGCAGAGCAGGCTTTGCTCCTCCTCCTCAGTCTTGTGATTGGATGTTGTACCGTCATGTGATTCAGTGGCGCCAGGCAAGCAAACAGGCTCACTTGCGCGTGCACACACACGCACTGGCTAAGTAGATTATAGTGGTGCCAGTAATGTTTTAGTCATCTTCAGCATTAGTTAATATTAAATTTTCAAAGTGCAAGTGGTTAAAACTCAAAATGTATAAATTATGCTAAGACCTTTATATAATGGATGCTAGCGCTAGCATCAGGGTGAAATAGGTAAATGGTTTGGGTTTACATGATCATTTTTCAGTCACCGTGACCAGAACCATGGAATGAGGTTAATCATAGTTATTTTTTTAACTCATTTTTTCTGTGATTTAATTAATCAAAATTAACATGTCATTTGATATAATATTATCCCACTGCCACATGTTACAAAATGAATACATTTACTGGAATTGAAAGAAATATACTGAATATAGCTCAGATTTGATTGACTATAATTAGTCATGATCCAGGTCTATAAGATTCTAACAGGTTTGGATGCTGTTCAACCGAATAGTTACTTTAGCATTAGTTCAAATACAAGATCTCGTGGCCATAGGTGGAAATTAGCGGGAGAACATTTCAAACTGGATTTAAGGAAGCACTTCTTTACACAGCG